CCCGCTTCAATAGGGTGTTGGAGACTCCGTGGGCCAGATGAAATCTATGGGAATGAGACACAACTAACAGACCAAATCGTTCTCTGCCTGCAGGAGAATTCCCTCAGGGGTAGCCAAAATACAAAGCTCCTTTTAAAACTCAATAGCCAGGTCAAGATGTTCATCTGAATGATCATCCATTTTTTTCATGGTATCCAAACCAAGGAAAAATTTTCTTTGTTTTTGACTCAGTACCTTGATAATTGAGTGTGTGCAAGGAAAACTCTTGGCATTAAAAGTTTTGAACTCTTTTCAATTAGAAATAATTGATCCAAATACAAATGTATGCCCATAATGGGTCCCCTGCAGGTTTGGGGTCTGGGGAAACCAGTGTCTCCCCCTACCCCCTTTTAAAAAAGCCCAGCCAAAATAGCATCATCCATTTGCAAGAGTAGAGTCGTTAGATTTAAAATACATGTGGAAATACTAAGATACTGTTAATGTTTATGGATGGTGAAAGCAAAGTGGGAGAGATTCAGTATTTCAGTGCCTAAAGTCAGACATGGATTTTGCAGAAAAATCAAAAATTGTAAAGTGGAGAATGTAATGGAATAACAAGAAGTACTGCGGGATTGGCTGTACAGAATAAAGCTCAGTCCACCAAACTACCATTGAAAAAGAAAAAAAAATCCTAGAAAAAATCAGCACAGTGATACAAAGAACACTGATAAACTGAAAGACAAAAATGGTGAGTACAAAAAATGGAAAGAGGGCACAAAACTAAGGTAGAATCGGTCGTGGTATCCAACCTGTTTGCACCAGATCAGGGGAACTGGTAGCAAGGATTTGGCGTGGGTAGTAAATTCTGGCTGGCCATGCCCCTGACCCAGTCACCCAGTGGCTGCTGGTTCGCTTGCCCCATCCGCCTTACGCTCGCCCCTTAAGGTATTTCTTTTTTTTCCCTTCCGACAACCAGCTGTTCATATGATCAGCTGTGCCAGGATTCCCCTTGCTGAGGCCCAGGAAGGCAAAAAAATGGAGGGAGGCGCTCAGCCCCCCCTCCATTTTTTGCCTTCCTGAGCCCCAGAGGAGCCTTCTGGGAGCAAAAACGCCCCCCCTAGAGGCTCTTCTGAGGCCCAGAAGGCCCCCCAAAACGGTGGGGGGGTGGCTGCAAATAAAACCCCACCCATCCAGTCACATGACCATGCCCACCAAGCCACACCCACCAAGCCACGTCCACAGAACCAGTAGTAAAATTTGAATCCTACCACTGAGTAGAATAGCAAAGAATAGCCCCAAGTTGCAAAAATGAACTCAGGAAAGCTAAACCTCAGAATGAAGTAAGACTTGCAACAAATGTCAAAAACAAAAAGTTTATTTCAATAAGATCAAGATCCAAGATCATGCTGAAGAAATTTAGCAGCATAATTACTTAAATATGAGTCAGCCAGGAGTGTGCTGCAGCTGCCCCAAAAGCCAATGCAATCCTAGACTGCATTAACAGGGATAGAATCAAGATCATGTGAAGTGTTAGTAGCACTTTATAACGCCTTAGTAAGGCCACACTTGGAATAATACTGCATCCAGTTTTGGTCACTAAGGTATAAAAAAGATGTTGAGACTCTAGAAAGAGTACAAAGAAGACCAACAAACATGATTAGAGGGATGGAGGCTAAAACAGGAAGTTTCAGGATTTGAGTATGCCTAGTGAAAAATGTCTGTTTATATTAAAGTGATTGCCTTGTCAGTCTTGGTATTACACTGTACAGTCACACTGTTCTCCTTCTAAACAGTCCTTTGTTCAGAGTAAGATGGTTGATTTCCTAGCTTCCTTCTTGTTTTTTAAAGATTTTTCATCAATATATATATAAAAGTGAAAAAGCACATCACAAAATCTCCAGAACCATAAAGCTACAAACTTGTAATTTGGCATGTATGTTCCTCTTAGCTTCTAGGTGCTCACTAAGAAAGGATTTTTCAAAATGATCATCAGAGCATTAGTGTTTCCTATATTATTATTAATACGCTCTGATGCTAAGGAGTTCTACTCCCCCTCCCTACCTGAAAAGAAATATCTTCCAAATGCAAAACACGAGGAATTTCAGTTTCAGTTTTACTTTCACAGCAGCAAACAGCTTTGCTACAGAACAGAGTTGAACTAAACTATGCCCAGGCTCCTTGCTGTGTCCTTGCTCAAACAGCAAATACTGTTTCAGTTTCCAAACAGCCCTCAACTCTCTCACACTCTGATAGGATGCTAGCCAGATGAATACCGATGGATCCTGGTAGGCAGAGGCAGAATTTTCCCCCCTTATTTTCCTCCCCCAAAACTAAACCTCACCACATAGTTTCATAGCGAAGCATGGGTATCAAGCTAGTCTTTAAAATAAAGCTGCATCTAAAAAATTCCCCCTTCCACTGGTAGATTTATGCACAATTATAATCCACAGTTCCCTTTGTATCAGTTTCATTGTGTATATTTTGAATGTTTGTGAAATGAAATTAAATGACTATTCTTTTATTTCTAGTCCACACTTATTTCTTCACCCCAAAATAAAAAAGTGTCTTTACAGAATAATAATCAAATGAAACACACTCCTTGCAATGAATTCTTATAGTAGTAGTATAGTAGTCATGAACTCTTCCAACTTTTGTCACTTCCATTCCTTCTGCATTAACATCCATTTTGTTCCTCAAAGACACCAGAATGTTGCAGCCATTAAGAGTTTGCATTATGTAATGGTCCTCTCAAAGATCCAGAAGCTTTTGAGATATTTCAAGCAATTTCAGCGGCCAAGCATGAAAAATGTGACAACAGATACACCCCAATAGGACACAAAAAAGAGATTGAATATAATCTGACAAGAATTAAATATAAATTGATTATTTTAAAATTTAAAGTCTTTATTACAGTGAAAACCAGTATAAGGAATGTGGGATATATATATGTATTCAACTAAATAGTACAGAAAATAAAATCTAAAAATAGTGATTATACTAAATAAGATATAAAAGAGAGTATATATAAAAACAGAAGTTTAAATGTAACTAAGAGCACAGTGAGGAGGATAAGATGTTTGTCGGTGGAATTGTTTATTATGTGGCAGTTTAAATCTATCATTCCACAAACCAAAATGTATGATGAGTTGGATGTTCCTTAAGACTACTTTATGGAACAGGTCATTCATCATCTGACCAAATTTAAATGCTGCTCTGCAGAAACTGGCAATATACTATATGTAGTAACAGGGTGACTATCTAAAAGCAGCAGGGAGACGTAGAATTGTTCTGTGTGCCCTGAGTACTGGAGAGATGACTCCGATACAAATATCTTTACAATCACTGGACAACTTAGACCTTAAAATAATTTTATTGTCACTTTGCACGTACACTAATCAGCATACAAGAACATGCTCTATTGCTTCTGTATGTCCAGAGTCATGGTGGCATTGTATTATAACCTGAAATATTATTAAAATAAACAAGCCTTGAATTCTTTGGTGTCTTCTAAACTTAGCAAATTTTTCAGCATCTTGGCACTGCCAGCATTCAAAGGTTAATCCACCAGCATCCAAAGGATAACAGGAGGCATCTCCTAGCAAAGGAGATCAACAGCAGGAGTTGTTATAAACATGAAAATCCTATGCTCAAATACCACAACCCCCTTTTCTCTATAGCATTCCAATAACAATTGCATATCATGGTCAACAACCTTTACATGTGATTTTTTGGTGCTTTTCTCACTGTCCCAAATCTTCGTATAGAATACCTTTATTGTCATTGCATTCCACAAATACAATGAAATTTGAAAGCTACTCCAGCACAGTGCCCCAAACACCACATCACAACCACACTACAGAGTTTTAAAAATTAAAATAATTATAATAATAGGATTAAATCACAAATGCACTGTTTGATTGAAGAGAATTACTGCCTTGGAAAAGAAACTGTTTCTCAATCTATTAGTCCTCATTTTAAGACACCTATAACGCCTCCCTCATGATAACAGATCGAAATATGAATGTCCAGGATGAGAACGGTCTGTGGAGATTTTAAGTGTTCTAGAGAGGAGCCTGGTATTCGCAATCTCTTCCAAAGAAGAAAGAGAGCAACCGATGATTTTTTTGTGCTGTGTTTATAACTCCCTGGAGCATTGGTATGTTTCCCATTCTGTGCTTTCCCATTCTGTCCATCACTTTTCTTGCTTCACTGTTCACAGTCTGAACAGGGATTCTTCCTGCTCTGAATTTCTGGAAATGAAAAGATGAACTCTAATCCCTCTTTACCTTCCCTCTCCCATTACCTCACATTTAAGGAGCTACAATCACTAAGTAAATCTGATTGCTCCTATCTTTTAAAATATTTTATAGGATCTGCAGCAGGTTTCTGAAATCTGAATGTTACATTTCTATGATATCTGATATCTATCCCCAAATCATTTTTGCAGCAAATGCACGACGTTGCAAAGGAATATCCACTATATTGCGCTAATAGCCCGGCACTATATTCTGCTTATAACCAGGCACAAGTAGATCAAACTAACATTTTCAATTTCCAGTTCCTTTCTCCCAAATGAGAAATACTTAGATACATTTGACTAAACTGAATCAGGTCAGAAATTAAATAGTCAATGTTTCAGTTGTTTTTGCAAAGATAGATCAGAAAAGAAATTCAAGCCTTCTTGTCACTCATCGCCTTCTGCCTCATGTGGATTTTCTTGTGTGCATTAAGGGAGGAGGATTGCGAGAAGCACCGTCCGCACTCTGGGCATTTGTAAGGTTTCTCCCTTGTATGTACACTTACATGACTTACAAGACTAGACTTAGTACTGAAATCTTTCCCACAATCCGGACACTCATGTGGTTTCTCTCCTGTGTGAGTCCTCTTGTGTTTCACAAGGTTGAAATTAACACTGAAACTTTTCCCACAATCCAGACACATGTACGGTTTCTCCCCTGTGTGAATCCTCTGGTGTATAATCAGGTTGGAATTATGACTGAAACCTTTCCCA